CAGAAGGTCGTGACCCCTTGGATTTCTCAACCACAGAGGACTGTGAAGGCTCATTCTTTGAGTATGTTTGAGATAGAAATTGATAGATTTCTGATTACAGTGGCATGCAGGGTTATGGAATGGGGTGGATGAAAGGCATTGAAGTATTTGATCAGCCATGATCGTGTTAAATGGTGGGATAGGTTTGATGGACTGGATGGTCTACTCCTGTTCTTATGTTCTATTTAGCACCTTTTAATATAGTGAGATGTATAAAGGGGCTTCAAAAGTTCATTAACAGACAAAATCTGGCACCAAGCCAAGTAAGAAAATATTAGCACAGAAAAGAGAGAGGATTTAGCAGTGTCTTGAGGGATGATAAAGATCCCAAGAAGTTTGGGAAGGTAACACTTGAAGAAAAGCTTAAGGGGCCTAAACAGCTGAAGGCAGAGATGTCAATGGAGATACAAAAGAGATCTGAATTTGAGCAGTGCATAGAATTCAGCACACTGCAGAAGTTATGGAAATTGCCCAGGCAAAGCATAGATTTTGGCCTGCTAAGACCATTATTTGTTGCCACAACTAATGTACACATAATTAACGTATGAAACAGGGCTACAGTAATCCCCTCAGATCTAGGCACCAGATACAACACCTGCCTTCAGATGATTGCCATCCATTTGAAAACCTTTTTTTCCTGAGAAGGAACAGTGCTCATTGAAGAAATGGATACAATGCAGTGAGATTCAGGTTCTCTACCAGACTTAAGTTTAGTTTGATACGTAACATTGTCATTTGCAGTAGAATTACTACATTTCAATTCTCAGCTCCTTAATCCCTTAATTGCAACTTTGTGAACTGCATTTAACAGCCTTCCAAAGGAGGATTTGCCAGTATAGGAAATCCTGTAAAATAACATGGTCACCAGATCCACCATCAATCACTTGCATTTTAGTCTGCTGTAATTTTAACAACCTGTCCATGTGCTACTTGAGTCCCTCATAAGGCCAACTAATGCCTCCCCCTACTGTCTCCATTCCCTTCCAGTTTCCTTCCACCCCTGATTGGTCTGCCCAGCCCAATGCATCCCACATCCCTGTCATAAGGACTGTTAACCTGATCCTGTCAAAAACACCCCTACTCCCACTTAACTTTAATTCTACCTTTATGGCTCTTTGTAGTTGGATATAGAATGCTATCAACTGGCTGCCTAGATTTTAATTTATTCATTCATAGGATGTGAACATTGCTGGCTAGGCAAAAATTTATTGCCCAACCCTAAATGCCCTTGAGAAGATGGTGGTGATCTGCTCTCTTGAAGCAATGCAAACTTTGGGAGCTTAGGAACACACAGAGTACTGTTGGGAAGGAATTTCCAGGATTTTGACCAAGCGAGGAATGATGGTATAATTCCAAGTCAGGATGATGTGGTTGGAGCATACAACCGAAGTTGTGGCTTTCCTACGCAACTGCTGTCCTGGTATTGCTAGATAGTAGAGGTCATATCTTGGAAAGACTGTTGAAGGAGCTTAAGTGAATGACCACAGTGCATCTGGTACATAGCACTGTCGCGATATATCAGTGGTTGAAATAGTGAATGTTGGAGGTTGTAAATGGGGTGTCAATCAAGCAGGTTGCTTTGTTTGGATGGTGTTGAACCTCTTGAGTGTTAGAGCTGGCAAGTGAAGAATAGTGGATTATGCTCTTCAGTTGTGCCTTGTAGATGGTGAACAGTATTTGGGAGACAGGAGGTAAGTTACTCACTGAAGAATTCCTAGTCTCTGACCAGTTCCTGTAACCACTGTTTTTGACTTTGATTTGATTGATTTGATTAATTAATTGTCACATGTACGTAGGCACAGTGAAAAGTTTTGTTTTGTGTGCAGTATAGGCAGATCATTCCATACAGTAATAATAGGGTGATAGAATGCTGCAAGGACTAAAAAGTTACTGCTGCAAAGAAGGTGCGCAAAAGCAAGATTTATATGGCTAGTCCAGTTGAGATTCTGGTCAATGGTAGCCCCCAGGATGTTGATAGTGAGGTTTTCAGCAGTTGTAATGCCATTGCATGTCACGTGGCAATGTAGAATGTCTCTTGATGGAGATGGTTATTGCCCCTCGTATATGTGTGACACACATGTTACTTGCCACTTATCCCTGTCCTTGCTGCTTATGAACACAGACAGGAGTTGAGTGGCCTTGGCAGAACCCAAACGAAAGGTGATAAATGCTGAGTGATTGCGACATGATAGCACTGTCGATGACATCTATCAATGTGCTGGTTATCGAGAGTAAATTGATAGCCTTGTACCAACATTCACATGTACAAACATAGGAATTAGATGGAGAAGGAAGCCATTCAGCCCCTTGAGTCTGCTCCACCATTCAACAAGATCATGGGGATGACCCATTTGTGCTTCCAATTCCACATTCCCATCTGTCCCAATAACCTTTCTCTAAATCCTGAAACCCCTTCTCTCACAAGAATGTGTTTACCTCCACCTTAAAACATACTCAACGAGTCGGCCTCCTACACCTTCTATGCAGAGTAACAAAACTTTGACAGAAAAACAGATTATCTCCATCTCTGTTCTAAAGCCCTTAACTTTAAGACAGCATTCCTGAAATTCATCCACAGGAGAAAAACTTCTTTTCCCATTTCCACCTTATCAGAACAACTTGTAAACTTCAATCAAGTCACCCTGTCATTCTTTTAAACTCCTGTGAAAATCAGCCCAGCCTCTCCAAACTATCCTCATAAGACAGGCCAACTATTCCCGTTATCAATCACTCCTCTGTACTGCCACCTGAAAGAAAAGCTGCATAGTCTACCTAACAGAAAAAGAACACAGATAAATGGAAAAATATATTAATAAAGTAAGTGATGAGGCAGCTTTGAGATGCATGGAGGAACTTTGTGTAACGATATGCATCTTCTCTATTTTTGATAACTCTAGTGAGCTGACTTTAAAGGGACAAAGCACTGCAGACAGGTACCAAGACAGTGGTATGTATTAGGCCCAATAACAGGAGCCCAAGGTGTAAAGGTCCTTCAGTGCTTGGTTGGGGCCAGATGGCTATGCTCAGGTTGGGGTTGGGAGGATGCACTTGTTCTCAGGTTGGGTGCGCTGGAGACTGGAATTTCAGTCCCTGTGTCGGATCACAAATAATCATGGAAGAAATCACCTAGGCTGACAATATCATGTAAATGTATACTATTACTAAGTTCACCATCTTTTGCCTCAATGAATAAGCAGTTGTGACAGCTAAAGCAGATGCAGATATCAATCTAAATGCCGGGATTTCTGCTCCCTTTGTGCCATAACCCATCAAGCTATTTCTCTGTGACGTAGAAAAGACCTGGTAGTCCTTATGCTACTCAGTGGACCTCACTGAGGAAAGAAATCACCTGGGTTTCAGGATTAGATATGGCAGAACAGATGATGATTCAGCATGCATGAGTGATCCCCGAGACGATTAAATGGTTAACTTTATGATGCCATGGAACGTATTTAGTTTGTAGAAGGATCGGACAATGTTGGTCATTGGCCATTTTTTGTACTCCATCTCATTCTTAAATTCTTTAATATGAATAAGTGTTTAAGGATGTAACATTCAGAAGAGTCATCACCAGAATGTTTTGCAAGGCAGAGCAACTGAATTTCTTCGAAGCTGACTGTACCTGCTGAATTTCCAGTCTCATATTACATAGACAATTATGTAAATTATACAAATGATTTGGCTAAGAATGTGGGATGCATGGTTAGTAAGTTTGCGGATGACACTAAAATTACTGGTATAGTGGACAATGAGGAAGGTTATCTAAAAGTACAACAGGATCTTGATCAACTGGGCCAGTGGACTGAGGAATGGCAGATGAAGTTTAATTCAGATAAACGCATGTAGTTGTATTTTGGTAACACAAACCATGGCAGTTAATAGTGGAGTCCTGGGGAGTGCTGTGGAACAGAGAGACCTAGGGGTGCAGGAACATAGTTCCTTGAAAGTGGCATCTCAGATAGACAGGGTGGTGAAAAAGGCACTTGGCACGCTTGCCTTCATCGGTCAAAGCATTGAGTACAGGAGTTGGGAAATCATGTTACAGCTGTACAAGACATTGGTAAGGACACAGTTGGAGTACTGTGTACAATTTTGGTTGCCCTGCTGTAGGAAGGATGCAATTCAACTTGCAAGAGTGCAAAAAATATTTATCAAGATATTACTGAGACTGGAAGGTTTGAATTATAAGCAGAGGCTAGATAGGCTGGGACTTTTTCCCTGGAACATAGGGGGTTTATAAAATAATGAAGGGCATAGATGAGGTGAATAGCCACAGTCTTTTTCCCAGGATAGGGGAGTCCAAAACGAGAGCACATAGACTTAAGGTGAGAAGGGAAAGATTTAAAAGGGACTTAAGGGCAACATTTTCACACAGACGGTGGTGTGTGTATGGAACGAGTTGCCAGAGGAAGTGGTAGAGGAGGGTACAATTACAATATTTAAAAGGCATTTGGACAGGAAAACGGGGAGCGAAGGGAAGGCCAAAAGCAGGCAAATAGGACAAGATGAATTTGGAAACCTGCTCGGCATGAATGAGTTGGACCGAAGGGCCCGTTTCTGTGCTGTATGTCTCTATGACTCTGTATTATAAGAGCTGACTGATGTTTGTTTTAAAATGACTCCTTTTTGTCACTGTCTCCAGCTGTTTACAAGACTATGCTTCAGCGCTAACAAGATGTAGCATGTTTGATTGAAGCTACAATGAAAGCATCCAAAAAGAATTATCCCAATATTGTTTTTGGTTCCATACTTTCCAGCCAGATCACTGAATCGTTACACTGATTTATATCTCAGTGTCTGTGCAGATTCTTATACATCCACATGCTCACCTCACTAAGTGCTTGCTCAGAAGGATTTTATATGGTTCATTTACTCCCATTCCATTTGTGTACAGTATCTAAAGCATGAAAGAATTCCTCAGTGAAACACCGCTGATAGCTTTTCTGTCACTTCTCTTATAGGATTACACGATAACGATGTATTTCCAACAATACTGGAGGGACAAGAGGCTTGCTTATTCAGGGATACCTCTCAATCTGACGCTAGACAACCGAGTGGCAGATCAGCTCTGGGTGCCTGACACCTACTTCCTGAACGACAAGAAATCATTTGTGCATGGTGTCACGGTGAAGAACAGAATGATCCGCCTTCATCCAGATGGAACAGTGCTTTACGGACTGAGGTTTGTGTCGGAACTTTATTTATTGCCCTGGCAATGTGCCAACGCTTGCATGTTGGGAAGGCAGTTCATTTTCTGGCAGACTGTAACCCTCACCTCAGGCTAGAGAGGGAGAATAAAACCTATAGCAAGCATGCGACCTGGCTGGTGCTCATTGTCTTTCACCTCTCCGGTGCCGTCATCAGTCAGCTTTTGTCTGGTCAGGTTTGGTTTCTGTCTCCAGAAAGCCCCACAGTGACTGCAAATTGAAAACAGGGCAGAAATTTGCAAATACATCTCATGTAACAAGGCAGAGAGAAAAATTCCCTTGCAAATTAATTAACCACTCATACTTACATTCATATATAATTCGTAGCATTTATTGAATTCTGATTTAATTTTCTTCTGCCTTAGGAGCGTTAAGTTCTTTCTTTTTTCTGTCCCAGAATATTGTAGGTTTTCTCAGTCATGTGCCCCAGGGCTTCTAGATGATCTGGACACAGCATATGTCAGGACAGTGCACAGGGCATAGCACAGGCCAACAAAGGTTCCTTCTTTTGAAATGGAAGGAAAATCTTACAGGAAAATTTCCCCCTCGCACATTAAATACCTCTGTGTCACTCGCAACATAATAAATTCCATTTTGTAAATCGGAGAAAAACAGGGTCCCAGTCCCAAAATGGGCACTTACAGTAATAATAAAGATACAGTCAGACTGCCAGTGGTGGAAAGATGAAACGTCTGTATAATTGGTTTGAAGAATTATAACGAGAAAAAATAATCTGAAATTCTGAGCTAACTAGTGGCTTCAGGGAATCATTTTGAAGGCTGTTTGCAGATTCTTCTGAGGGTAAGGGAGTTAAAGCAGTAATTACCACCAGATATGGGCCATAATTGATTTTTTTTTTTAATAACCGAAGATAGCTTTAGCTCTCCTTGGGTTTTTGCAGTTATGTTATAGAGAGGCAATTTAAAAAAACTGGATTTGGCAAGAATTCTGCAAAGTCCACAACAGACAAATTTCAAACCAATCCCCAAAACTGTATGATTCATAGATTTGACAGAATCACTGTCAGCCTCTCAAAAGCTACATTTTAATAAAATTAGCTCATTCCCATTTTTGGTCTAGTTTGAAATTGTGTGGGCTAGATATTCACAGACTTGATTCCTAGAGCATGCTGATTTTGATGGCCTTAACAAAGATGATGATCGAGATTGTACAATTGACTACAATTTCCATAGGATCGGGAGAGGGGGATTAATTTGTGCCTGCCTTGTGAATTCATCTGTACTTTGATTGAATTAAAATAAGTGAATTAGCATATGAATTTACCATATAAGTGAGGAAAATATGAGCATATAACATGGATGGGAAAAAGACTTCCTGGTTCCAAATGGAAGTAGATCCTAAACACAGGGCATCTGGAAGATACACGAACCAACTAAATAACTAAGCAACAAATCAAATTGGGAAAATTGCATACATTTGAAGCTAGGAATATTCCATCACACCTCATAAAGGGGAGATGTTGATGTAGTCATGTCACTGCACTAGTAATCAAGGTTAAGGTTCTGGGGATCATAATCCCATCATAACAAAGTCTGAAATTTGAATTCAACAAAAGGAAATGTGGAATTACTAAAAAAAAATGCTAGCCCAATAGTGACCATGTAAATATTGTTGATTGCTGTAAAAGCCCACCTAGCTACCTAATATCCTTTAGGGAATGAAAGATTGCTTGCAACACCTGTGAATATATATTAAAAAAAATCTCTCCAATTTACCCTTTGTAACTTGGAATGTCTTTTTCATTTGGAAGTTTTACAAGTTCCTTTTAATGGATGAGCTGCGAGTTCACACCCGCCCCCTGTATTTCTAATCTGCTTCTGTTTGTGATGGCTGAATGTGAGAAATATTACTGAGCAGAAGCTGAAAATTCTCTTTTCTGGGAATAAATTACCGACATAAATGTCCAAACAGTTCGGGATCAGTGGTTGTTGCATTATTGAAATGTCTGGCACAACATCTGGAATCAAATCAGTTTTTGTAGGGGAAATTCATAGCCCATGGGAGTTGGCTGCAGACAGGATTCAGGCAGTTCTAAAGATTAGAAACATGCATCCACCTAATACTGAGCTGACTTTACTGTCAAATCTATCACTGAAGCAGTGGCGAAAACAAATTTGATCAAATTTCTCCTTTCCAGTGAGGTCATAGGCAGCCTATCAGAACTAAGAGAGCAAAATGCTTGTTACCAGCAGGAGGTAACTTGTAATTTTTTTATTGTTCATTCATGGAATGAGGGCGTCACTGGCCAGGCAGCATTTATTGCCCATTCCTAATTGCCCAGAAGACAGTTCAGAGTCAACCACATTGCTGTGGGTCTCGAGTCACGTGTAGGCCAGACCAGGTAAGGATGGCAACTTCCTTCCCTAAAGGGCATTAGTGAGCCAGAGGGGTTTTTCCAACAATCAAAAATAGATTCACGGTCATCATTAGATTCTTAATTCCAGATATTTATTGAATTTAAATTCCACCATCTGCTGTGGTGGGATTTGAGCCTGGATCCCCAGAACATTACCTGGGTCTCTGGATGAACAGTCCAGCAATAATACCACTAGGCCATTGCCTCCCCTGAGTCAAAGAGTCCCTACAGTATGGAAGCCGGCCATTTGACCAATCTAGTCCACACTGATCTATCCCATCCAGATGCACCCATTCCCCTACCCTATCCTTGTCACCCTGCATTTCCCACGGTTAAACCACCTAGCCTGCACATCCCTGGACATTATGGGCAATTTAGCATGTCCAATCCACCTGACCTGCACATCTTTGGACTGTGGCATGAAACTGGAGCACCCTGTGGAAACCCACACAGACGCAGAGAAAATGTGCAAGCTTTACACAGATAGTCACCTGAAGGTGGAATCGAACCTGGGTCCCTGGAGCTGTGAGGCAGCACTGCTAAACACTGAGCAACCGTGCTGCCCTGTTTACACAGCACCTATACCAAGGTAAAAAAATTCTAAGCACTTTGCTGGGGAATTATCAAATAAAATGTAACATCAAACCACATGTCCAGGTAGATGATGTAGAAAGTGAACTAGAGAAGCTGAGATTTTGAGAAGGAGTTTCAGAGCCCAGGGCTTCCCCAGGGGCTGAAGGTATTGCTGCCATTAATGGATGGTTTAAAATCAAGGCTGCACCAGAGGCCAGAATTGGAGAGGTGCACAGAGCACGCAGCACAGTGGGGCTGGAGGAGCTTTGAAAACCTGGACAAGAAATTTTAAAACAGATGCATGACTGAACTGCAGGCTAATACAGGTCAGCAGCAGATGAATGGAACTTTGTAAGAGGTGGAATGTCAGAAGCACAGTTTTATATATCCTAAAAACCACGGAGGGTGTAAGATATGAGACTAAAAGAATGCCAGAAGTCAGTCCAGTTACATGGCGCTTTGAAGAAGAAAGGTTCTGAAGAAGAGGCTTGAAGCATTAACAATGTTGCTGTCTCCACTAATGCAGAAGATGGTTTGTATGTGGAATGAACTACCAGAGAAAGTGGTAGATGGAGGTACAATTACAATATTTAAAAGACATTTGGACACGTTAATGAATAGGAAAGGATTAGAAGGATATGGGCCAAATGTAGGCAAGTGAGACTAGTTTAGTTTGGGAAAATTGGTCAACAGAGATGAGTTGGACCGAAGGGCCTGCTTCCGTGCTGTATGCCTCAATGCTGCTGGAGCTGCTGTGTTTCTCAAGCATTTTCTCTTTTTACTTGGGACTTTACTGCTTGATTTGAAAGTCCTATGAATGACATGCTTATTGAAATGGGGATGTCATGGTGAAATAAATATTGGAATATGGATGATCAGTTCTGTCCCAAATGAAACTATTGCTGAAAGACTCTTTCTGGATCAGAAAATTTTTCTATCTGTCAGCACATTAAGCAAGAGGTTGAAACTAATGAAGGACTCACTGGATATAAGTCAAACAGTTTAAATTAAACTCCAAATGTGGTGAAGGGGAGATATGAAGAGAAAGATATCCCCGTTGTCACCTACAGAGCACCTTTCAGAGAACAGGCGTGGATGAAGGTGAGGAACTATGGTCTTGATGATGAAAGGGAAGCCAGTCAAACATGACATGGATACTTTGTTTTTCACAATACAAGGCATCCCTGTGGAATTTCAGGAAGACAATGAGAAGATATATATCTGAGAATAATATGTTCAATAGCGAAGCCATGGAATATATAGAAAAGTTCATGCTTAGTTCCAAGCCTGTACATTTGTCCAATAGCATGCCTCAGTGTTGATTTAGTTTAAATATTCTAACTGGAAAGTTGTACCGTGGAACTTGTTCCAAGTTGTGCATGTTGTATTAATACAGACGGGTACTTAAATAGCAGATTTATGTGACAGTATTTGCTATTGTAATATACACATTGTTAATCTTCAACTTACCACCAACTTCAGAATATGTAGATAAAGATCCAGAAAAAAAAATTGATAATGTTAAAGGCGCTTAGTATCTATCAGGAATGACAGAGAGCATTAATTCTTCAATAAACTTAAGTTTAAAGAATGGCATGAGTACAATCGTGAGAGCTTATCTTATTTCTAATGACCAAGATGTAGAATCAGTTTGGGTAGAGAAAAGAAATTGCTTGTGGGAGTACTTTATGGATCACTTCACAATAACTACATCTCCACAGTACATACACGGCATACAAGTAAGAGTGATTTGAAAATTAATAATAGAAAATAAGGAAACGGCAGATGAATTGAACAGGTATTTTGCATTAGTCTTCAGTATAGAGGGTACAAGAGACATCCCAGAAGCAGTAACAAACCAGGAAATAGAAGAAAGAGAGTAACTCAGGAAAATCACAAACAACAAGGAAGTAAGTGATGCGTGGTAAAGTGATGGGCCTGCCCAGGTCTCAATGGACTTCAGTTTGAGAGGGAGAAGCGGGAATCAGATGTAGTAGTATTACAATTGAACAAAGATAACTATAA